GGCCAGGAGCAGGTTAGAAATGCATTTTCCTGGGACTTAAAGCCACAACGTCCTGAGGGAGTCTGGGGTGGCCCGAGTCTGCATTTCCGCCTGCCCTCAGGTGATTCTGTGAAGCCTTGACTCCCCTGGTCCTGGCCTCCAAGCCCCGCCCTTTCTGAGACCTCTGCCTTCCTCTCTCCTCTCCCTCCCTGCTCACCTAACTGACCTCCGCTGAGCTGCTGGACAGGTGTCCCCTCCTCTAGGAGGCCTCCTAGCCTTCCCTCCAGCTCAGCACAATGCTGAGAGAAGCGACACTGGACAGTATGGCCTCCTCCCCTCCTGTGGTGTGGCTGAGCCCAGGGACAGTCACTGGCCAGTGGGAGGAAGGAAGGCTTTGCATGGCTCTCTGGGCATGCCCCTGCCTGGGAAATGGGAATCAGGTCAGAGGCAACTCGTCCTGGGCCCCAGGAGAGCTGGCAGCTCCACCAGACCCTTCACTGCTGTGTCATCAGAATGACAGTTCTCAAACAGGGTCATCTCCAAAGGGCAGTGAGCTAGGTGCTCCTGTGCAGCACCCCAGGCAAGCCCTGCCCCATTCTTTCACTAACCTGTCAGAGGCCAGGTGAGCAGCTTGTGTGTTCCTGGCTCAGTGCCTGGGCAGGTGTGCCGGGCAGGGCCCATTCTCAGGAGCCATCTTGCCTGCTTGGTGCAGACAAACCCAGGCTGTGACCTGCTCAACAGATGTGCAGCAGGGACCCTTAGGGAGGTCTCTGGGGCTGCACTGATTTCAAAAGGTTATCACTTCTGTGGGCACGGACGTGGATAGTGTGGGAACGTGGCCTTTCCAGCCTTGGTGGCCTCCTCTATAAGGAAGGTATAGTATAACAGTACCACCCGGTAGGCACCCAGTAGGAGCGCAGACATCCCTTCATTCCTTTCTCAGACCCATGGCTTGGTCCCGGACCAGCAGCACAGCAGCCTCCGGGAACCTCTTAGAAATGCAGATTTCCCAGCAGTTCCGAGTTTTCCAGCAGTTTCCCGAGTCAGGGACAGCACTCAGGGTGATGCCACTGCAGGTTCAAGTTTGAGGACCACTGGTCTAGAATGGACTTGCTCTCTCCCCTTCCTCCTTCCTCTCTCCCCCTTCCTGCACTCACTCCTGCTGGCCGGCACTTCCTCCATGCAGCTGCTGGTTTCTGAGGGCTGCCACCAGGTGTCAGGGCAGCCTCAGGAATGTTCCAGCTGTCCCACCTTCCCTGCCAGCCTGGCCTCTGCTGCCTCAGGAGGTGTCCTGAGAAGGGAAGCGGCTTCCCGAGCTTCTCACAGGATGAATGTTTCCCTGTGCTTTTCTAACTGCTCAGGGTGAGTCATCCGGGCCTGAAGGCGGTGAAGGTGGCAGATATGTCAGCATCCTGTGTGGTGGGGACAGGGACAACCGCACAGCACCTAGTGGGATGTTGTGAGATTTAGGGGGCACGCCCAACTCCTCCTCTACTACTGCCCTAAGTCCTAAGTCCTCACCTAAGTCCTCACTCTCTTATTCTGCGCTAGGAGGCTTCTCCAACCACCCTGCTCTGTGCCCCATTGTGACTCTGGCCAGGGCCTCAGACCCTCCACCCAGTCCAGTCCTCGCAGTGGGCCTCCCAGGCCTGTCCTGCTGTGCCAATGCTGAGGCCGACTTTGGGCTACTGGTCCAGGCCCTGCCCGGTCCTGTGACTACATGTCCCTAACCACCACCACAGGCTTGGTGGGCCACAAACCTCCTCCTGAACACAGCCCACAGCCCACGGCTTTGCCCACGGTCCCCTCCCAGCTTGCCCGCTCCAGCTCCCCTGAGTTCAAAGCCAGCCCACACCTTCCCATGCGCTGGACACCCTCCCCGGCGCTGGTGCAGGAGGCTGAGTGAGGGCAGGCAAGGTCTCTGCCTGTAGCCACACCAACCCAGCAGCTACCCTCCCAGCGGGAGGGCTGCCCAGGTCCCGAAGGGCATATGCTGGATTCCAGGCGAGGAGCTGCTGTGCTAGGCCCCCAGGCAGGCTCAGGTGGGAGTGGCTATGGGCCATGGGCTGCGGGGGCAGCTAACAAAACAATGCCATTAAAAATGGGCAAAGGACAGGAATAGAGACATACAAATGGCTAAGATGTATATGAGAAAATGCTCAACATCATTGATCAGGGAAATGCAAATCAAAACCACAGCGAGATATTATCTCACCTCAGTTAGAATGGGTATTATTAATAAAACAAAAAATAACAGATGCTGGTGAGAATGCAGAGAAATGGAAACTCTGCTACACTGTCAGTAGGAATGCGAATCAGTACAAGCATGATGGAAACCAGTATAGAGAATTCTAAAAACACCGCAAAATAGAGCTACTGTATGGTCCAGCAATCTCACTGGGGGCGGGGAGGGGTATTCATCCAAAGGAAAAAGTTCAGTGTAACAAAGGGTAACTTGCATGCTTGTGTTTATCACAGCATTATTCACAATAGGAAAGATACAGAGTCAATGCAAGTATTCATCAACTGATGAATGGATAAGTAAGATGTGCTAAATATACACAGTAGAATACTATTTGGCATAACAAATAATGAAGTCATGTCATTTTCAGAAATAAGGGTAGATCTGGAAGTCATCGAGGAAAATAAGCCAGGCACAGAAGGACAAATACCGCAGGTTCTCACTCACATGTAGGAGCTAAAAAAAGCTTGATCTCATGGACCCAGAGAACATGATGGCAGTACCAGAGGCCGGGAAGATGGGGTGTGGAAGGGAGAAGGAAGAGAAGTTGGCTACTGGGTACAGACCTGCAGTTAGAAGAAATAAGCTGTAATGTTTGACAGCAGACTATGGTGACTAAATAACAATATTATGTGTAAATATTCAAAGTAACCAGAATACACATTTTATGCATGTAACAAGCATTTGTATTAAGGAAGGAGACCACTACTACTCCTGCTGCCCTCCTCCCCCCACCTTGCCTAGTTCAAAGACAGGAGAAAAGAGAGAGAGATACAAAAGTAAGATAAATAGCCAGACAACCTTGGCACCACCACCCAGTCCTAGGAGTTAAACAAAGTAATAATAATAACATCAACCCCTGGCCTAAACTACTTGTGTTACCTGTAAATTTCAGACACTGTATGAAAAAAGCATTGTAAAACTTTTTGTTCTGTTAGATGATGCATGTAGCCCACAGTCACATTTCCCATGCTTGCTCGATTTATCACGACCCTTTCACGTGGACCCCTTAGAGTTGCAAGCCCTAAAAAGGGCTAGGAATTTCTTTTTTGGGGAGCTCGGCTCTTAAGATGCGAGTCTGCCGACGCTCCTGGCCGAATAAAAAAACCTCTTCCTTCTTCAATCCGGTGTCTGAGGAGTTTTGTCTGCGGCTCGTCCTGCTACAGTATGTACCCTACAAAGAGGTAAAATATTATGCGTCAATAAGATGGAGAGGTTATGCCCTAGCCTCGAGAGGGGCTCCTTGGATCCGCACAGCACATCCTGCCCACCTGCATCCTCTGCTCCACTGTGCTGGTCGTATCTGGGCCTTCATGCTCCGGTCCCCAAGGCAGGTGGTGCTGACTCTGGTGGCCACACTGTGGATCTGGGTGTTGGTGGCCCAGAGGGTGGGTGCTAGAGGCTTCCTGCTCTTCTTGTTCCACTGGGACCAGGTGGAGCCAGGCAGTGACAGGGTACCACCCTCTTGACCAGATCCTGGAACACAGGAGTGTCACCTGGCCCCTCCTCATCCCAACTTAGTGCCCAAAGTACCCCTGGGCCCGGCATGGCTGGGCTGGAACTCGGGATGCAGCTCAAGCCTTGGGGCATCTCTGGGTTCTCTGTCCACTGAGGGTGCCCTGGGACCCAAAGCTGCCGGGAAGAGATTGGCTTATCCTCATGCCTGGCGCCCCAGACTGTCCTTCCTGGTCCACCACCCTGGTGACATTCCTCAGGGCAGCTCAGGGCTTTGTTTAGGGATTTACCGTAGTCAGGTGCCTAGTAAGTGCTGCGACCTGCAAGGCCATGTGGGCAGATGGGAGGTGCTCTTCGGTGAGCACCCCCAGCAGCCAGCAGGGCAGTCCCCCACCCAGGCGTTTGCGTGCTGCGCTTGTGTTTGACTGTTACAGCACTTCCTGTCAGGGACAGCACCTCCCGCCCCTCCTGTCAGGAAGGACACAGACAGCAGGTGCCTGGGGGCAAGGCATTTGCCAGGTAACACAGGCTGTGAGTGCTGGAGCCGGGATTTGAACCCGGATCATGGCACTCTGTATGGGGCAATGGAAGATGTGGGGATGTCCATGCAGGAAGGAAGGGCAGCCCGGTCCCACTGAGCCCAGCTGGAGGAAACTGCTCAGCCCGCAGCTGGGGAGAGAGCCCAGGAGGCCAGGCTTCCCCTTGCTTCCTGGCTCAGGATCACAGAGGGACAAGGAAATTTAGTGTGTGTGTCTTTTTCCTTTTTGTTTCATTCAAAATTTAGTTTATTATCAAGCAAGAGGAGCTTACGCAGCAGGAGGGTTGAGGTGCCACTGCCCTGGTCCAGCTCAGAGGCCAGCAGCAGGGAGGCTCAGTGTCCTGTTCCCAGGATCTGCACAGGGGGGTGACTTTCTGCATCTCCCCATCCGTGGGAGGTGCTCCTCCAAGCCGCCTCTTGCCAGCCTGGACACAGCAGCCTGCACCTTGACCCTATTGCATGCCAGTGGAGCAGAGCCCCCCAGGCCAGAAGCCCCACAGCTGTTGGCTCTGGCTTGGACACCGGACAGGAGGCACCGGGGCAGAAGCTGGTCATGATCCTGTGACCGCAAGTGCCCCCTCACTGATGGCCTCCTGTTCTGTGTGCGGACCAAAGAGGAGCAAGTGTGGAAGGCGCCTCAGGCAGGTGCTGGGCTCCGTGGGCGTCTTGTGCTCCGCGATTTTGAGGCCATTTGCAGTCAGCTCCCTCAGCTCGAGTTCCGAGCTGCAGCCGCTGCCACGCACAACAGCACGGCCAGGAGGGTCTTGGGGGCTTTCTTCATAGGAGGCTGTCAGCATCCTCAGGTTCCAGGCGCTCAGGCCCAGTCCTGCTTCAAGAGGCTTTTTCCCCCCTACCGGAGGCTTCTCAACCGCCTGAAAGCTCCGCTGACTCCCGCGAAGTTTGCTGGGAACACAAGGCTGTCAGTGACATGTGGCGCCAAGACTTAAGCATGTGGGTTGCACGGATCCGCCACGATCTGTGCCACGTACACTGGCGCCTCCTGAGACTGTCTCTTATACACATCTAGATGTGTATAAGAGACAGGGCGTGCGCGTGCAAGCCACACGCGCTTAACAGCTTGGCTGGTTTGTAACGGCTTGTACACGCACGCCACACGCGCGTAACTGGTAACTGGCTGGCCTGTAACGGCTTGCACGCGCACGGCACACGCGCGTAGCGGCTTGGCTTGGCTTTGCGTTCTTTGCTTGGCTTGGCGTCGGTCGCTTGGCCTGCTGTTCCTCCTTGGACCTCCTTGGATTGACGTTTTCTCCTTTGGGTTGACGTTTCCTCCCTCGTTCCTTTGTTGGGCTTGACCTTTTCTCTGCTGGGTTTGGCATTCTCTTGGGTGGGCTGGGTGTTTTATTGGGGGAGGGTTGGCCCTTCCTGGGGTGGGTGTGGGCTTTCCCCGGGTGGGTGTGGGCTTTCCCTGGGTGGGGTGGGCTGGGCTTCCCTGCTGGGGTTGGCAGGTTTTGGCTGGGATTGATCTTTCTCCAAACAGATCGGAAACCCGGAGTTACTTGCTAGTTGGTGAAACTGGTTGGTAGACGGGATCTGCTGTTAAAAGCAGATGGTGGCTGAAGT